TCAGGTAGGCAGGCAGTTAGGGGCGATCAGGCAGGCAGGCAGAGGGGTTAGGGGCAATCAGGTAGGTAGGCAGAGGCAGTCAGGGGCAATCAGGCAGGCAGACAGGTGAGCAGTTAGAGGCAATCAGGCAGGCAGACAGGTTGCAAGAGGAATGTCCAACTGTCTGTTTAGGCCTGATTCCAGGCCTAAACCAGCAGTTGGACATCCTCCAAGGGTCCCTGATTGGAAAGGGTGCAGGCTGGGCTGAGAGAACTCCCCCTCCACGTGTGAATTTTGTGCACTGGGACACTAGTTTTATACATAAGAAAACTGCAGCTTAAGGAAGCCACATAATACCCAGATTCCCCTGCTGATTAATGAAGAAGCCAGGAATCAAAGTCAATCTCTCTGAATTGTAAGCTTTGCTAGAAAAAAAAAATCCAACATAAAAGGGAAAAGGTGCTAATATATTATATAGAATAGGGTGTGGGCCCCAGAGAAATTAGGCGGATGAACAGGGGTATAGAAAAGGGCAGAGAGAGGAATGTCAGAGTTTGTGGTCTTCGGGGTAAGGCAGAATGGCAGGGAAAAAGTGTGGCCATGAATGAATGATTATCTGTGTGGAATGCGGAACATGGCTGGGGTAGTTGGGATACATGAGGTCAGGTGTTGGGTGGGTCATCCAGGCTGGTGTTGAAGTGCTTCAGAATGATGGCAGAGATGAAGTGGAGAGAAAATAACTGTGAGCCAACTGGCAAGTTTCTGAGGAATGTGAGCATTAGCAGGGGACCATAGCACAACTTGATGACCTAGATTTCAAAGGGGCGTTGAGAAATTAGGGTTTTGGAATAACAGTTTAGAAGTTGCAATGGTGGGAATATTGAGAATGTTGACAATGTAAATTAGGGGTGGGGAACATCTAGCCCCTGAGGATCATATAAGGCCCACAAAGCCATTTGGTCTGGCCCTGCTAAGGCATTAGGGGTGAGTTAATTAAATGTTTGATCAAATATAGCAGGCTAATTTTAAAAAATATATTTTATTGATTTTTTTTTTTTTTTTTTTTTTTTTTTTTTTTTTTTACAGAGAGGAAGAGAGAGGGATAGAGAGTTAGAAACATCAATAAGATAGAAACATTGATCAGCTGCCTCCTGCACCCCCCCTACTGGGGATGTGCCCGCAACAAAGATACATGCCCTTGATGGGAATCAAACCTGAGATCTTTCAGTCCACAGGCCGACGCTCTATCCACTGAGCCAAACCGGTTTCCACTAGCAGGCTAATTTTTAAGTAGATAATTTTTTTTGTGGCCCGAGAATGATGTTACAATAACTATCCAAATGGCCCTTGACAGAGAAAAGCTTCCCACCTCTGCTGTGAATCTACGGATGCAGGAAAAGAAAAAAGAACTTCAAAGTAGAAAGAAGTAGTTTTGAGGCGAGGTCTTCAGAACAATTTGGAAGGGGTCTGAGAAGAGATATAATAAATTATACTAATGTAGAAGCAGATGCTTAGAGGCAGAGTGATTAGCTGAAGCTCACATAATAAATTGGCAACAGAGGGCATGGGCCAGACAGTGTGGCCCAATGATCAGGGAATGGGCCTTGGGATCAGATGGACCTGGGTTTAAATACCAGCTTCATCATTTACTAGCTGTGAAACTTGAGGTATTACCCATTCTCTTAACATTCTCATCTGTAAAATGAGATACTTAGTATCAGTTGCCAATGATTGCTGTAAGGATTCAATGCTGCATGGAAGTGCTTACTTTGTGTGCCTGGCTCCCAGAAAGTGCTCAACATTTTATTTATTTATTTATTTATTTATTTATTTATTTATTTATTTTTAAAATATATTTTTTATTGATTTTGTACAGAGAGGAAGGGAGAGAGATAGAGAGCTAGAAACATCGATGAGAGAGAGTCATCGATCAGCTGCCTCTTGCACACCCCCTACTGGGGATATGCCCGCAACCAAGGTACATGCCCTTGAACAGAATCGAACCCGGGTCCCTTCAGTCCCCAAGCCGACGCTCTATCCATTGAGCCATACCGGTTTCGGCAGTGCTCAACATTTTAACTACTCATGCTGGACCAGCATCAAAGGCAGCAGGACTCCAAGTCTAGCGCTTTCTTGGTCCTTCCACACTGAACTTATTTACAGCTTCTGTATTTAAAGCGCAGGCCATCTTCACTGGGGCTTTCCTATTGGAGTCACTCCAGACTCACATGCGCTTGTTGGTAACATGTGAGATCTCTGGCCTCTGTGGGGCTCAGAAGAACTGCTGAAAGTGGCAGAAGCTAGTTTAACCACTTCTATATAAATCTGATCTACACAGCCGTCTGCTTCTTGCCTTGGACTAAACACTTTTTGTTGATTGAGATGCTAAAATCCGTAACTGAAGGGACCCTCTGCCGTGTATTTCAAGAGATCTTTATAAAGACGAAAGGCTCCACGCTCTCTGTACCCTTCCTACATCCATCTGGAATGGTTCAAACATAAGTAATGGAATAAAATGAGGACAACCAGAGATGATCTAGACACAGACAGGTTTAGAAACTTGCTCACTACCTGGCAAACCAGGACTTGTAATCCATTCTCTTCACTATTGGTTTGTTTCTTTTTAAAATTTATTTTTAGTTAAAACTGACTCAATACTTTTATTGAGAAAGTAATGCATGCACAAGAGAAAAAAATTCCAAAATACATACATAATTTAAAACTACCTTTCTCCCACTTCAGGCCCCTTACTTCTAATCCCTCTCCTTGCTGCCACTACTGTTAACAGCCTCCTGGGTATCCTTTCAGAAATATTTGATGTATTTATAATATTTTATACATATATTAGCATACAATATTTATCCTTTTAATAAAACAAATGAAGACATACTGTTTCATGCCTTGCTTTTTCACTTAATACTACACTTTGGAGATAGTTTTGTCTCTGAATATAGAGTCTTTTCTCTTTCTCTTCAATGATTACATAATAACCCATAGTATGGCTATGGTACATATTATTTAGCCTTGACTTCTAGTTTAATTCTCACATGGCTTTTGTTGTTGTTGTTCTTGCTGTTGTTGATGGCAACACAATTCTCCTAGTGACTCTGCTTCAAACCTCAGAGTAATATCCAAGGTCCTCCTTTCTCATATTTAGCAACTCATGCTAATTCTGCTTTTAAATGTATTTCCTACTTGTCCATTCTTTTTCATTTTCATTGCCACTTCCCTGGTTTAGGCTTTAAATTTTTCTATAACATTTCCCTCCCTGCAGATTTTCTGTTTCTGCTCACATTGCACACTTGCTTTTGATTAAATTTCTTTTTAAAAAAATATATATTTTATTGAATTTTTACAGTCAGGAAGGGAGAGGGATAGAAAGTTAGAAATATCGACCAGCTGCCTCCTGCACAGCCCCCACCAGGGATGTGCCCACAACCAATGTACATGCCCTTGACCAGAATTTAACTTGGGACCCTTCAGTCCACAGACTGATGCTCTATCCACTGAGCCAAACTGGTTTTGGCTTGATCAAATTTCTTAATGCCAAGCTGGTTGTTGTTGTTGTTGTTGTTCTTCTTCTTTTGTGTGTGAGCATTTCAGTGATTTTTATTTGGAATTGAATTATATAAGTATCCTCAATTTTCAACATCTATTTTATAAATCCAGAAATCACTGAAAATTATAGGAATAGAAAAACATTATTTTAGTATTTTTTTTAACCTCACAAGGATATCAGCTTTATTTTTTATTGGTCATTTAAATTTTCTTCTCTTTTTTTATTGTTTTAAGTTTTATATATGTCTCCTTTTTTCCCATTGACTTTCTCCCCCCGCCATCCCCCCAAACCATTCCCATCCCTGAGGGCAAGCCCCCACAGCCCCAGTGTCCGTGTCCATTGGTTATGCTAATATGCATGCATACAAGTCCTTTGGTTGATCTCTAACTGCCCCCCTTCCCACCTCCCCAGCCATTTATCTTTGGATCTATTTTTGTTCAGTCACTATTCTTAAAAACCTTCAATGGATTCCCACTTGTGTTAGGTAAAAATTCAAGCATTGACCAATACATCTGATTTTAAAATTCTAATCTGGGGAGTTTATGAAATGCAGATGTGTTTATGAAATGCAGAATGTCCTAATGTATTAATAGGACCTTTAATCAGCATTAAAAACAAGTTTCTAGGCGCTTATGATACAATTGGTCATTGGATCAGTGTAGTCATTAGAATAAAGTACACATTTCTCAGCCCAGTATTTCTCTCCAAAGTACTTTTCCAGCCCCACCTCTTATTACGACTTATCTACATAGAGCAAATAAAGTTCTTGCTGGCTTTCTGAAATCTCCTCATACCTTCTGGACACACCTTTAAACCTCTGGGCCCAGTCTATGAATCCTTCACACATGCAAGGGATCTCTGGGCTTGATTCTCTGGATTGGCTTGGGTTTCTTTCTTTCTTTTCTTTTTTTTTTTTTTTTTTTTTTTTTTTTTTTTTTTTTTAGCTTTTTCTCCCTCTATCCCCAACCTCCCAACTTGTAAGATAGCTGTCCACAGAAACCTAGTTAGTCCTTTTTTATTTTTGTTTCTTTTTATATATTAATTATTTTTAATTTAATTAAATTTTTTCTTATTTTTCGAACCTCTAGAGCCATTTGAACTTTTGGTAAGGATCTTAAACAAGAATTTGTAGGGTTAAGGCCAGTGCCTGATTAGATCACCGTTGCATATACAGTCCTTACTTGTTGCTGGTTTAAAGCGCGGCTTTCCAGCGTATTTGTGGATTTAATGTGTACAGGAGCGGAATCCTGCCCGACATCGCCCAGAGAACTACCAATCCCAGAGGGCCTTGCGTGGAACGTCGGCGGACGCGGTGACGCAAGGGGGCGTGCCTCGCCTGAGGGAGGGGTCGTCCTGCGGGCAGCCGGAGACGGAGGGGGCTCGGGAACCTGGGGTGGGAGTGGGAGCGTCAGGTGAGCGGGGCTGAAGCGGGGTGGGGGCACGCTGCGGGGCGCCCGGGTCTATGGAGAGGGGAAAGATGGCGGAGGCGGAGAGCCTGGAGACAGCGGCGGAACACGAGCGGATCCTGCGAGAGATCGAGAGCACCGACACGGCCTGCATCGGGCCCACGCTCAGGTATCCCGGGGCCGGGGCCACCCACGGGGGCTCGAGCGGGACGGGTGGGCTGGGCTCCTTCGGGGCCATGGCTCTGCCCAGCCGTCGCAGGGTCAGCGCCGGCCCCTCCCTTCGGGGAGCCGGGCGAGCCACTTCCATCCACCCTTGGCGGGGCGGGTCTCCCTCGGGAGCCCCGACGTGGGGGTCCCTTCGCGATCGCCGTCGTCCACAGCCCAGGCACCCTTCCTTCGGGCCGGGGCAACTTTCCTCCTCCCTCCGAGGCTTGCCCGGCGCCGGGCAGATGGTGGCTTTGATCACCTCTCCCCCCAGGACGTCTCCTCTTCTCCCTCAGACCCGAGCCCCATTCCGCTTTGCAGACAAAATAGAATTTCTCCCCACGGTCTGTTGCTGGGAAATGAAACTCCTGCCTCCTGAAAATCACAACCACTTCTCAGAAATGAGTTCCTGAAAATCCTAGGCCAGGAAGGAAGTTTCTTCCCTCGACGACCCGTGCCCCTCTCCTGAGACCGGGTGCCCCCTGAACCCTGTCAGCAGGCCCTCCTCTCCCCGAGGGGCAGCCTGGGGTCGTGTCATCGCCGAGAGAAACTTACCTCCCCCTCTCGCTCCCGAGACCATCACTTTGCGCCCACACCTCCGTTTTATTTGGAGGTGTCAAAAGAAACCCCCACTTTCCCCAGTTTATTTAACAAAAGTTAGGAACCACTTACTGTATAGTGAGCAAGGCATTGTAGTAAGCAGTTTACAAATACAACTTCTTAAAACCGAAACACAGTCCCGTTAGGTACTATTAGTACCTTCATTTTATGGGGTGAGGCTTTGAATGACTTCCTTGCCCAACAAGGTTATTGAGAAAATCAAGTGGGGGAGTTGAGATGCCTGGTCTCCAGCCTGGATCTGCAGTCTGCATTCTTCACCTCCGGTGTCCGGCCTCACTGGGGCATCACCCTTCCCCTGAACTTGTTAATTACTGACCCAGCCCAGTGTGGAGCTACCTTCCCTTTCCCCTCCAGGTTCCTGGTGCCCTAGAACAGTGGTCGGCAAACTCATTAGTCAGCAGAGCCAAATATCAACGGTACAGCGATTGAAATTTCTTTGGCGAGCCACATTTTTTTAAACTTACACTTCTTCTAATGCCACTTCTTCAAAATAGACTCGCCCAGGCTGTGGTATTTTGTGGAAGAGCCACACTCAAGCGGCCAGAGAGCCACATGTGGCTCGCCAGCCGCAGTTTGCTGACCACTGCCCTAGAACTAACTCATCTTCACCCTTCCTCTGTACTTTTCAGATCTCCATGTAGCTAGTATTGAGGTAATTGTCCTATCCACCTTGTACCATCTTGGGTCACTGCTTCAACTTTCAAAAATGAGTTATTACACACTGCTTTTTTTTAAATTAAAAAAAAATTTTTTTTATGGGAATATTGCCTTTCTAAAGACTGTCTGAAGGAGGGGCAGACTGGAGACTTTAATCATCTCCATCTGCACAGCCTCCTTCTCCAGGGCACATTGTTGGCACCTTTCTCCAAGTGCTCTCCTTGATCGTGACCATCCATCGTGATCATAATGCTTTTTTCTTTATTCATTTTCTGGAAGTCTTTGAGTAAGTGATCCTCATTCATTATCGTTTTTAAAAACCAAAGGTAGTATAAGTGCATTATTAATGGTTATTAATATTTGGTTTCCACAAAACTAGATGTTATTAGAGTTACTGAGGATGTGGATTCAGTATGCTACTAAGAAATCTGGCTGCTGAGCTGCTGTAGGCAGCCAAGCAAAGCTCCCGCTGGAGCCGTTGGGATTACCAGAGTTTTTAGGAAGAATTCTTTCTCAGACACCATCAGTGTTGTCTTGAGTTGGTTGTGGTTTTCCGCTGCTGTCGTACTTGGCTTATATGATAAATGACTTCAACTGATCAATTTAGTTTGTTGTGATTTATAATGTTAACCCTCCACTGAATAATAATGCATACTTGTATCAACTGAATATTGGCCTGTAATTTTCTAGTATCTTTTAAAATATATATATATTTATTGATTTCAGAGAGGAATGGAGAGGGAGAGATAGAAACATCAACAGTGATAGAGAACCATTGATCAGCTGCCTCCTACACACCTCCTGTTAGGGATCCAGCCCCCTACCTGGGCATGTGCTCTTGACCAGAATTGAACCCAGGATTCTTAAGTCCCCACACCGACTCTATCCACTGAGTTAAATTGGTTAGAGCTTCTTGTATCTTGACATGGAATATATGCATTATGGTTCGAATACAAGTTACCCATTCTTCCTAAAATTGCTTCCTTGTGCCCGCCAGCATGGCTCAGTGGGTGAGTCTATGAACCAGGAGGTCATGGTTTGACTCCTGGTCAGGGCATGTACACAGGTTGCAGGCTTGATCCCCTTGGGGTGTGCAGGAGACAGCCAGTCAGTGATTTTCTCATTGTTGATGTTTCTTTCTCTCTCTTCCTTTCCCTTCCTCTCTGAAATCAATTAAAAATAAATTAAAATACATTATAACATTATAAATCAAAAATAAATATAACTTCATTGTTATCACTGAGTTCTTTTCTCACTGAAAGTGGGGTTTTAGGGGTTAGATGAATTAAGGGATCTTTTGCCCTAAGTGGACATGGTAACCAAAAAGGATTTGAGAACCTCTGCACTATCCTATCAGTTCTAATTGCTTTTCCTAACTCCCTGTATCATTATTAGGGGCTTTTCATTTTTGGCCTTATCCTGTCTTTGGCAGATAACCCTAAATCTTACTGTCAGACCCAAGATTCAATCACTGGACATCTAAAAATACAAGTGATATGCACTGTCTTTGTCTTTAGTCTAGCTTGCCTCTTGCCCATATTCACAGGGGCTGATCTCACCTTTTTTCTTTATCCCATTCGGAGACAGTAGCGTGCACAGACTTGATGTGTGCTTTTCCTTGGATGCACCCCCGTCATCATTATATCCTGCTTTCTCATCACAATCATTAGCCAGGTTTGATTAAGGCAATAGGCTCTCTTCCCTACCTTTACCCTTAACTATCTATCTCAAACTCCTCTACCCTTCTTCATAGTCTTTTCTCTTTCTTCCATCTTTTGACATAGCTCTTTTTAGGCACCAGATTCTTAGCTGTTCCTGAGTTAGATATTGTAACTGAAGAGGAATGAAAGAATAGAAACACACACACACACACACACACACACACACACATATTTAAAAATATTTTATTGATTTTTTACAGAGAAAAAGAGAGAGGGATAGAGAGCTAGAAACATTGAAGAGAGAGAAACATCGACCAGCTGCCTCCTGCACACCCCCCCTGGAGATGTGCCAGCAACCAAGGTACATGCCCTTGACCGGAATCAAACCTGGGACCCTTCAGTCCATAGGCCGACGCTCTATCCACTGAGCCAAACCGGTTTCGGCAAGAAACATATTTGATAGCAGACATAAGATTAGTATGTCCATCCCTAAAATTCCTGCTCCTCACAAAAATCCACCTAGCTACATTTGCCTAACCAGACAGACTCTTTCTTTTGCCAACTATTACTTGTGAATCATTACTTGCTTTTTCTCCTTAGTATACCAAATTGCTCTTTCAGTCATTCCTTTTTTGTTTGAGGACTCACAGTAGCTTGACTTTTTCATTATATAACTCCTTATTTTAATATTGAACAGTCATGCAGTATTAGTCATTTTCCACATATCATAAGGGAGTGCCTCTCCCTTTTTATTGTAATTCTGAAAGGCCCAAGCATCTCATGCATATGGAGGCTTTTGCCTTATTAATCCTTTTGGGAAAACAGCCATATCTTTCTTCATCTAAAATATTATTTTGTTAGTTGCAAGTCTTTATTTTGCAGATGAGGAAAGAGGCTTATAAGATATTGGGTTCTGTCTTGTTTTTAAAATAATATTGATTCCAGCTTTGTAGCACTAATGCTAAAATATTGATTACAAATCACTTATGTACAATAGCTCCATATTCCCATCTTTGTATTTCTAGTTTTCTCTCCTATTACTTATTCAGTAGATTATTTCCTTAGTTTGCTCTGTGGATACTAGCAGTTAACATTCATTCTTAATTTGCTATTTCAGATTTTGCTTTTAAATTTAAAAAATAAATTTATTGAGGTAACGTTGGTTAATAACATATAAATTTCAGATATACAACATTATAATTTGATATCTGTATACTCTATTGTGTGCTTACCACCCAAAGCCTAGTTTCCTTCCAATACCATATAACTTTTAAGTTTAACAGTAAAATATAATACCTTTAAAAATAGCTTTGTTGATACGCAATTCATATATCATATAGTTCACCCACTTAAAGTGTACAATTCAGTGGTTTTATAGTATATTCACAGTTGTGCAAAAGTCACCATAATCTAATTTGGAACATTTCTATCACTCAAAAAAAAAAAAATAATCCTTTACCTGTTAGCAGTCATTTTACATTCTGTCTCCTCGCCCTCCCCAGTCTACTCTCTGTATTTATGTGTTTGCATATTCTGGACATTGAGGATAATATAGATAGATATTTTGGTTCTTTATATCATTACAGTTGATAGTTTGCAGAATCTGTTAACCATGTAATAATTGATTTAATCACATATCAAAATAAAGCTTTCAGCTGAATGCAACTTAGAAAGAATTAGTGTGTGGCTCATCTATGAAATATGTGAATCTGGGTTGAGAAACTGAGCAATGAGGACATTTCAAATTTGCTTGTGGTGGTGAGGGAGTGGGGGAGCAAAAATACTGTAGGGGAGGAGTTAGTAGAAATTGAGTTACACACCCATACCTGACCTGAGTTTAAACATTTTGACCTAAGGTATCTAATAGGTCATGTTTTAAAGTGTCTGCTCTTGCTGTGGGAAAGAAGAGAAAAAGCCATTTTTGCAATGTGGTAGTGTCTGTTGTAGTACTTCAAAAACAAGGAAGACAGTTACTTAAAGACCAACTAATGATGCAGGGACTGTGTTCCAGTATTTGAATTAAGGA